CTGAGGAACAGGCTCTGAGAGGGAGATGGCTGGGTAGGAGGCTTATTAGGGGATGCTGCTGGGATCAGCACCCATGGGACAGAAAAAAGAAATGGAAATAGGCAAAAGGACATGGTGAGCTGTGATGCAATTTCAACAGTCCCGTGGGGAGTTCTGCATCTGGGAAGAACCTTCTGAGATATCTGAGTTGGAGTTACGAGCATTTATATAGTATGTCCATGTACATAATAACCTTCTATGACCTTGGATGAGAAGGCTCTCTTCAGCTCCTCAAAGAGGGCTGAGAGCTGAGGGCTGTCCACCAGCAGCAATCCTAGGAGAATGTTCTCTGTACTTCTTTCCTGAAGGCAGATGCAGTGACTCAGCTCAGGATCCACCACAGTCCACCCCTTGTGCCACTAGGATCTACCTCACACAGGTTCTTCTACGATCCCCGGGGCCTGTCTTCCTTGGGGACACTTGGGGGGGATAAATTAAAGTCCCCACTGCTGCAGCTGGTCCTAGGTTCCCAAGTGGTATACACTGTCTTCCTCCTCTTTCTCCCAGATTCCCCTCGCCCTCAGCCAGCCCCTCTGTGGGACTTGGTGGTTCACCTGATGGCATGGTCCAGAGACTAACTTGTCAGGGGTCTCAGCCTCTGGTAACCATGCCTTTCTCAGGCCAGGAGATAACCCTATCCAGATGGGAACTCTTGTCTACTGCTCCCTTGGCATGAGGAACCCAACGTGCTAGATTTTGTAGTTAACGGGACTCCTGCTGGGTCACCCGGAGGAGGCACTCAGCCTGTGGAAGCTGGAACTCTAAAGCTCCTGGCCCCAGAGTTCAGGCTCTGTCATCACAGGCTCCCCAAGTGGGTCATCAGGAGTAGCCAGTCCTGCTTCCTTGTCTCCCTGTCTCCTGCATTCCACCGACCAGGGATGCGGGACTTGATGGAGGCCTTTGATTTAAAGTGGGCACTGAATTCTGGAGGGGGCACCCCATTCTTGGAGAGCATTGCCTGCAGGACAGCAGCAGGGTGCTCCCTCATTCTGGAAGTGGGGCCCTGGAGTCTGTGATGCCACCACTGGACCCTGTAGACTCAGGCCCGTTCCCACCCCCACCCCCACTACCACAAAAGATGCCCTTGGGCTGACACAACCCCGCTGGAGGTGCCTACAGTATTGTCCCTAAGCCACAGTCTCCTACACACACCTTTCCCCAAAAGTAGAACCAAACTACCCCAGGCTCCATGTTTAGATTTTTCAAGTTAAGCCTAGAAGCAGAAGCACTGGAAGGCAGCTGACCCAGGTCCCCGGCTCCTCCCTGCCCTCTGTACCAGGCATGAGGATGTGGTGAAGGTGGCAGTTTCATCAGTGACCTGGCCAGGAGGGTTCCTCCCGCAGGGCAGCAATTCACCGGAGCCCGAGAGGCTCCAGCAGACCCTTGGCCGCCTCCTCCCCACATCCATCACACACTTTAGACGCAGTGCCTGACAGGCCCGAGATAAAGAGGGAGGAGAATTGAATCAGTGTCCACTTTGGTCTTCAAAACATATCTGATTTGCCTGCCTGTGGATACGGATGACTTCATTTCCTATGCAGTGTTGCAAAAAGCCCAGTCTCCATGGGAAGCCTTCTCAGAAAGACACCCTCCTTCTCCTCCTCCTCCTCCTCCCCACCTCCTTTCTGCCTCTGCCTTCTCCTCCTATCTTCTCTTCCTCCTCCTCCTCACCTTCCTCCTCCCCCTCCTTTTTCTTCTCCTCCACATCTTCTTCCTCCTCCACATCTCCCTGATCCTCCACCTCCTCCTTCTCTTCCTCCTCCTCCTCTTCCACATCTTCCTTCTCCTGCCCCTCCTCCTCCTCCTTCTTCCCCTCCCCTACCTCCTTCTCTCTCTCTCTCTCTCTCTCTCTCTCTCTCTCTCTCTCTCTCTTTCCCCCTCTCTCTCTCTCTCTCCCCCCCCTTCCCCACCCAAACTTGTTATTAACTAAAATGCATATTAACTAAATGTAAGTGTGAGAAAACTCCTCTTGATTTTCCTGGTACCGTCCACATTTAAAAATAAAGTTCTGTGTCCCAGGCAAACTAGGGCAGTTGGCTGCCTTAATACCACATACTAGCTTGGCGGCCTTAGGTAATTCCTTATCCCTGGGAGGCTCACTTTTCTATTCTGTGAAATGGAGCTAATAAGACTAAACACAGTCGCTACTGGATTGTGCAAAAGCCAAAACGCGTGTCTGATAGGCAGTCGGGTGTGTAAATGGAAGTTGCCAAGTCCCGTGCAAGGAAGATGGCAGAGTCTAACTCTAAGCAGTAGTTGCCTCCGGCTGCAAAGCACTCTTGGAACAATTTTGGCAACTGTGTTCTCTCCCTCTCCGAAGGCAGTGGAATGAAAATAAATGTTTACTCTCTGAAGCTACTTTGCATGAACATAGTTTATCTTTATAGTTTGTGCTACCACCTGTTATATTTCTCATATTTAAAAAATTAACTTCATCATTTTCTTCTTGCCTATTTTTAAAGGGTTTAATCATTTTTTTTCTCACCTCCAATCCTTCCTATTTTTAGCGTTTCATTTAACTTTTGTGCTTCCTCCTTAATGTCAGAGGTTTTTATGGTCCATTTTTTTAAAAAACCTTACATCCATGTTCTCTTGTTCTTTTAATTCTAGTTTTCAAAATGCTCTCTTCTTGTTACCTTCTGAAAAGCCTGCCTTTCCCTCTCATCATTTTGTCATTTCTCAGGATACCACTGATTGAACTCGGGCTATGATGTAGGTTTTCCATCATTTACTTTTTTTGTCATGTGATGCCAGCTGAGCTCAACATGCCCGCATCCTTCTCTACCTTTGTCTTAGATTTTCACTGAAGTGTCCTATCCTTTATTGCTCTGCTATTTTTTAAACTTCCTTGCGTACTATTTCTAATTCCCTTTTCTAATTCAGCATGGCCTATTTATAAAGGGCAGGCAGGAAGCATGGCCACAGGGCCGACAGCTGTGGGGAGAGCCCACGCCCTCGCAAGGATGCTGGTGGTACTCTCTACTCCTCCGTCTGGCTTGCTGACTCCTACAGACCCTCCCACCACTTTCATCCCATTCTCCACTGGGTCCTTAAAGAGCCAGCTTCCCCTGGGCCTCACTCTGCCTCCTGCCACATCACACCAGGTCTCCTTAAAGCTTCAGCCTCTCCATGTCGTTTACCTGCTCAGGTGCATACATAGTGAGCAGTCCTTTCATTGATTATCCCACAACACTTTGGGAAAATAGTTCGGTTTTGAAGGCCAGAAAAAATGAACTGGGCCAAATTTACATGACAAATGGCATGAATGGGAGCCCAGATCTTTAATCATTGGGCTAGATGGCGAAGCTCTACATAGATCAGCAAACCAAACCATGTGGTATCTGCCCTCTTAGTGAGGGAATGACTTGCTTGGTCATGGGGGGCAGGGGGACGTTAGAGATGGGATTTGAGGCCCCTCTGTCTGAGCTGGCTCCCTAATCCCCCTCCACTGTTCCCTGAGCAGCAAATAATGCACATAAGCATTCTTTTTAAAACAACATAAATACTAAAGATCTGGAATAGTTTGTAACAAGAAGTATGAGACGCTATAATGCACAATTTATGAAAGAAATAAAAGATACATATTACACCATAGATTAGCATTTGGGGGGGAAATGGCCTTATATTAAAGTATAGAGTGTCCCAAAAAATGTATACACACTTGACAGCTGATAGCTCAATTGATTTTTTTTCTTTTCAGATTTAACCCATAGGAATTAATTATTCAAAGTGCATATACATTTTGGGGGGACACCCTGTATATATCCAACAATTATTGGATATATATATATATATATATATATATATATATATATATATCCAATATATATATCCAATATATATATTGGGTATCTGTTATGTGCTAGGCACATTCATATATATTCACTTGTAGTAACTATATAAATATATAGCTATACATACATGTACATTACTTCTGTGTGACAAAGGTTGATTCCCATTGTTCAGATGAGAAAGTTGAGGCTCAAGAAGGCATAAAGTGACTTGCCCAAGGTCAGATGCCTAGTAAATGGTGGAGCTGAGGGATGCAAACTCGGGTCCCTGGTTACAGAAGCTCCAGGTGGGTGCAAAGGCCTTTGGTGGGTGGCTGCCCGCTCACTTGGCCAGGACCCCACAGCACCCGAGCGCCCCCTCGGGGTTGCGGAGAGGATCACAATCTCCCTATATTGCCGCCCCCCCCCCCCCCCCCCCCGCAGTCTCCAATGCTTGGGCTGCCCTCCTCTGCAGCCCCTCCCTCTGCCCAGTGTGCAACCACTAATGCTCAAGTGTGAAACCAGTGAAGACACACCCAAGTCCAAAAGCAGAGAGGCCCACACACGGGCACGTTCTCCGGCCGTGAGAAGGACTTGTGAAGACACGCCAAGAGCGCATGCTTTGGGTTAAGATTCTGGCCGGGAGAGTTTGGTGCCTAGGAGCTGGGTGACGCTGGAGGTGAGAAGCAGCAGACACTGTGATATCTTTTCTCGAGTTAGCACATCAGGACTTGGATGCTGCCCAAGAGGGCCTGAAAGCACAGGTCAAAACACAACATTGCTCTTCAACTAATACTTTCCCTGGGTCTTAATAGTCTCTTCCCTTCTTCTCACCTGATTCCCAGCCCCTTTAAAGGCCAAAACCTTCAGCTCGTGGAGAGGAGAGGTGAGGTGAGTGTGGAGGAGAGAAGGAGCCCCTTGTCTTGCTTCACGCCTCCGATCCAGGTTCAACTCCGAACTCGGGGATGGAGAAGCTCTAAGTTAGATGGATCGGCCACGGGGGGCCCCTCGGAGGGGCTGACATCTGCCTCAAGACCTGAATGAAGAACTTGGTTCTGCTCACCTGCTACTAAGCTTTGGGATTATTCCCTTAAGATTTGCCGTGGAAATGTTTATTGATTTTCTCTCTGTGCCTCTACACAGCTCCTCTTTGAGCTGCCTGACCGGGCTCTGTCTGCGATTCTGTTGCAGGTGGTGGCCCAGGTGGTGTTATTCATGTGCATGAACACGGCTGGGATCTTCATCAGTTACCTGTCAGACCGCGCCCAGCGCCAGGCCTTCCTGGAGACGCGGAGGTGTGTGGAGGCCAGGCTGCGCCTGGAGACGGAAAACCAAAGACAGGTACCGATGGGAAAGGCTGCGAGTCCTGCTGAGCTTAATTTCTGCCCCAACGTATCCGGACTTGCCTGTGTTCTCTCAAACTGTGTGTCACGGAGTTACCAGGTCTAAAATAGTTAAGGAAGGTCCTCCACACTCAAGTAACTGTTCCCTCAAGAAATAAAATGATTCTAGTCTCAATGTCATCTCCTGCTGCTCTTGACCGACATCTCTGCTTCAAGGCTATGGTTCCTAAAACCATGAAAATTCTCCTCTTTGACCCTCCTGTTTTTGAAGCTGTACATTGTTATTTCAGATGCAATTTTTTTTTTTTTTGCTAGCAATTCAAATTGTAGTAAGCACACAGAAGAATCTTGAGGTTCCTAATACCTGAACCTCACACTCACAAAAGATGACCCAACATAATAGAATTTATGGAACATGACAGGGCTCCCAGGACAAGGGGACAGCAGGTCAGGTCACGGTAGGAGCTATGAGTTCAAGTTTGAAGACATTAAAATAAAGGAGTTTCTTGGGCGGATGTTACAAGAATTTTAAAAATAGCTTCAAATTATATGTTTCACCAAAATAAAATTAGCTTTCATAGAATAAAGATTTTTCCCCTATCAAAATTATTCATCCATTAAAAATGTGTGCCTATTTTAGCCTCTGAGCGCAATTTTCAAAGAGGAATAACAGGAAGGTGTTGAAAATTGGTTATAGAATCAACATATTTTACGTTCAACATGTTTATGTGCCCTTTGGAATTCTATGTTCAATGGATATGTTCTACAATACGAGGCTCTTTTTATTTAAAGTAGTCTGTGGGTACACACTTGTTATTTTAAGCCTTATGCAAAACTGGTATGAGAAATTATAAAGAAAGTAGCTGCAAAAGACACAGCATTTTCCTCATCTTCATTTGATCAAATCATCAGTAAGACGTGGATCTTTGAAATGGGGAAGCCAGGTCTGTGTGGTAATGGATGAGGCAGACAGGCCGGGTGCCAAGACTCAGCTGCAATGCCATGTGTTACTGCCAGGGGCACAGAGGAAATGGCTGAATGGCCAGCTCCTCCATGGACTTCTCAGGATCCAGAATTAGGAAATCTCTAAGTTCATGTCTAAAACCAATATGGAACCTCATCACTGATTCATTGTAGTTGCTCCGAATAACCCTATAGAATAATTTAGAGAAATAACTTTGAGAAAGAATTCACCTTGCGCCCCAAATATGAGGCTCTCCGGGGACTATACGTTGTGTTCCTCTGCAAAGCAGAGCAGCCGCCAGGCAGACATGTCACTCTTTCCATGGGCCCTCTGCCAATTCAGAGAACGTGGCCGGATTAATAATGTGTCCCGCTCTTCTCCATGCTCTGTGGCAACCAGAACTGCAACTGTGGGTGAGTTGTCTGGGCAACTCAGTCTTTTATTTAATGTTCGTGAAATATTGGAGACACTAAAATGATTGCCTTGTTAAACCCATAAGACTTCTTTCCCACCCTTCACGGGGAGTGTCTTGGAGTCACTGTGATGTAAAAATCAAACACTGGTAAAAGGACCTTCCTCTATCCCCTCTAATCGTTGTATCTTTTTAAGTTGATGAAAAGAAGAACATAGTAATATACAGGAGCGAGGACAGGTGCCAACTGGAGTGCAGTGGAAAGCTCACTGCAGTTCATGCCACAGCGACCTTACCCCCTAGCTGGGCCACCTAAGCCACTGAACTTTCAGCCCTAGATCCCTCACCCACAAATGGGGCGATGTCTCTCTTCCCAACCTTGTGCTTGCCTCAAATGAGATAATGTGTATAAAGCAATACAGAATTATGTCAGCCTCATGGTAAGAAAAGATTATCTTTTGGTGGAAGATCCCTTGTTCTGAGGATTCAGTAAAATGTGCTGTAGGCGTGTGAGGGTCCTGTGTCCACAGTGATGGGAAAGCATTTCTGGGGCCCTCTTCCCTCAGCAGTCGTATCTGAGATAGCTGGCTCTGCATCTTTCCGTTGACACTCGATCTCTGCTTCAGGTTCCCATTATCCCTGAGAACCACATCAGTGGAGATGGGCAGGGAAGTTTTTTTAAGGAGACTGCACAAGATTTGAAATCTTTGCCTAGTGACCGATCATTCCAGTGAGCTTAAGCAAGATCTGAGTCTTAGTTTCTCCATCCGTAGCATGGAGATGATAATACTGCCCCCTTCCCCCCGAAGAGGTTCCTTGTGATTAGAAATAGTGTGTGTAGGCCCCTTGCAGCTCAGTGAAGAGCGTCTAGTAGCCTGATTGTGCATAATGGTTTCTGTGAGGCAGCCAACATGGCACAGTCCTGGGAGGACTCATTTGAGAACACGTGGATGGGCTTGTCTCAGTTGAAACCCCAATTGGCAGTTATTCGTGGGGGGAGGGGAATCAGGTCGGTGGTCCTCCTCAGGACACAGTGATCACAGCTCAGCATTAGGCTTCATGTCTTTTAAAGTATCATGTGTCATTAACAAATTCATCCCCACTTAACTCTTACCAAAGCTAATTATAGTACCATAACCGTTAGAAATTCTATACTTTGTGAAGGAAACACTGTCCCGAGGGCTTAAATGACATCAGATCCTTTTTCCTTAGGAAATGATTCCCAAAGAGAACAAATGTCATTTTTTTAAACACTTCTAAATGCAGAATCAAAAGGCCTTATTTCACAGAAATGAAATGTTCAAGTTTTGTGTGATTTTTCAAGCACTGGCTTTACCTCTTGATAGGATACAAAGGAAATATTTAAATAACTTAATATGTTCAACCATGAATTAATTTATGTATTGAGGGTCTAGCGTGTGCCATGAGCTTTGCTGGACATTGGGAATATAATGGTCACTAGCAATTGGTTCCTGGTTTTACAGAATTTACCAGACACAGAAAGAGATGGGTGACTATGCAGACACCTATGGGAATGGCGTATGGGTCAAACCCAAACTGGAGGTGGACAGAAGCCTACCCAAAAGAAACGATGCCTGAATTGATATGTGCATAGGATTTAGCTCATTGAGAAGTGATGAAGAGTTCTGCATAAAAGTCAAAAAACACATACAAACATCCTGGGAGAAAGGAGAACGTAGTTTGTTGGGGCAATTGTGAGTGCTTCCATGGTAACTCACTCCTGTGAAATTCACTTATCCATCCATCCATCCATCCATCCACCCACCCATCAATTTATGTTGGAGCAGCTACAGAGACAAGTAAGACTCAGGCTCCATGCTGGGTTGGGACAGGAAGATGAGTAGAACTTTGTTGGGAGAGAAGGAAGGAAGAATTAGCAAAGATACTGATGTTAAGATGTATACAATGTGATGAAGCACGACCCTGGGGACACCCTCTAGCAAATTCGTGTACTTTCTTCAATGGCATACACTGCGCTTTTCCAGTCAATGAAAAATAGATACTGAAAGTTAACTATCAGGCACTGATCAATGTACTATATATACCAAAAGGGAGGACGTCTGTTACAGATCTCTATGACAGCATGCCCCTTTGGCTCTCACTCTCTGCATGCCTTCTTCGGGTAAACTGTGAGCCCCCTGAGAGTGACCCATAACTCATTCTTTGATACAGCCCACCCAGCAGTGCCTGAAAACCAGCATGGAATATATGGTTATGAAAAGACTGAGGTTTTCAATATTCAATAGTGGTTACTAATCTTTCTTCCCAAGAAAAATCACCAAGCCGTGGCTGAAGGACGCGTGGCCCCTGAGCCGTGCTGCCTCTTGTTTTGTGGGTCCCACAGCACGATGCATGATGAGGTGCTTGGGGTGAGCAACAGGCTTTCTCCTTCGGTAGCCTGAGGCTGCATGTGTGCTTCGTAAGGTCAAGAGCAAGCAGGCAGGAGAGCCCAGCAAATGTGAGCACCCTTTGCTCCATGTCTGTTCTAGAGTAGCCTCTCAGCCAAGCTCCTTAAAGATGGCTCTCTGCTTACGACATCTGCTTCCCCTCCCACAGTAACTGGATGGCACAATGCCAGGCAGAAACTACGGAATGGTGCGAAAGGTTGACATTTTTAATCTAGGTGACTGGCTTCAAGAACTTGAGCACATATTGACCCTTCAGAGAGGCAAGGCCTTTGTGCTTTCTTTTTTTTAAAAAAAAAAAATGTATCACCAATTATCACTAGCACAGTGCATATTAAATACCTCTTGTCTGGTCTCTTGAGCCCCAGCTTCCCTTCCTCCAATGTGTTCTCCATCCCAAAGGCCTGGTCTGGTTCAGAAGCAGTACCTTGTAGGGGTTCAAAGCAAAATCTTCAGTGTCTAGGAGATCTGGATTCCAATCCTACTTCCTGTGCTTCTTGACCATGGGAACTTAGGCAAACTATTGCCTCTAGAGCAGTGGTTCTCAACCTTCCTAATGCCGCGACCCTTTAATCCAGTTCCTCATGTTGCGGTGACCCCCAATTTCATTGTTACAAATTGAACATAATTAAAGCATAGTGATTAATCACAAAAACAATATGTAATTATATATGTGTTTTCCGATGGTCTTAGGCAACCCCTGGGAAAGGGTCGTTCGACCCCCAAAGGGGTCGCGACCCACAGGTTGAGAACCGCTGCTCTAGAGACCTTGCTTTTTAGGTGTGATGTGCACATAATGATGATTCCTTTCTCCACGTGGTGAGAGTGGAGGGTTAAGGATGAACAGGGCTTCGCCCAAGGCAGGGGAAGCTGAGGACCTGACATCGATGCCACTCCTCTCTCAGGAAAACCCTTCAGTGGCCGCATTCCCTCCAAGATAAAGTCCAAACCCCATGCGTGACCCAACAGGACCTAGTCTCCGTGCCCTCTCCCCCAGATTCTTCTTCGCCGCCTTGCCTTGCACTCACCAAACGACCACCGGCTCCCTGGACTGCTGTTTCGCTTCCCTGTGCTATGCGGCTCTTCAGCCTGAGAGGCCACCTCCCTCCTCATGTCTCTGCTCTGAAAATCCCGCTCCCGCATCTCTTCCTCCATGAGGCTTCTTCTCCCCGGTTGAATGAAATGCTTTTCTCATA